AAGGTTAGCAGCCCGATTTGTAACCACTACGCTATACAGGTAGTTACAATGCTTTATTCTAGAGCAGTTGTATAAGGTGAAAGCAAGGGACACTCCTTAACACCACTGCAGTTGCATCTGTATTTCTTCTCAAGGGGTAGATTCTTCTGAGCTCTATGGAAAATTCAATTCAACAATGGTATTCTTTCAGAAAGTGCTTTCTCTACTGTATTAAGAGAAGAAGAATACTGTTAATGTGAACTCTTTCATTTACCTCGTTTTCCTTTATTTTGTTGTCATTGTTAAATGCCGTGGAGTCGGGTCTAACTCATAGCAACCCTATACAGGGCTTCTGAGGATCAGCTATTGGGTTTGAACTGCCGACTTAGTAGTTCACAATCTAGTGCTGATTTACAGCTTTTTGTTTTGTTTTGTTTTTAATAGTGTCATGAATAGTGATAACAAGAAATAGCTCCTATAAACTGCATGTGGGGATAAAGTCACCGAAGCTCTTGACAGACCTTGTTGCTGATATTATTAAGTCCCATCAAGTGGGTTCTGACTCATAGCAACCCTACATAGGGTTTCCGATGCTTCACACATCTGTGAGGGAGCAGAAAGCCTCATCTCTCTCCCTCAGAGCAGCTGGTGGGCTCAAACCATTGCCCCTGAGATTCACAATCCAGAGCTTATCCTCTAGAGCCACTGTGCTTAATAAAGTAGGTGGGAAGGGATTTATTCTAAAGGCCAGCTCAATTCTGCTTTCTACATTCTCTCACTAAATATATAAACTTCCAACTGCTTGTATCCCAATTCCAAGGACTTTATAACTACTTCTCAAACTATTTTCAGAAAGAGGAAGTCTGTGTGTTAAAAACAGCTCTGCTTTTCCATATGTCTACCAGTAAAAGTGTGGCTAACATCCAGATATTCTGAATCCAGCGATTGCTCACAAAAGCCTAAGCCTGGAGGTAGCTTTTCCAACACAAAGTTACTAAAGAGTTTCTATTAGGAGTGACCCATGTCTAAAGGTATGTTCAGAGATGTGGCAACAGTTCATTGCACTGTTTTGAAAGAGATTTGCAATTTTGGGAGAACAGTGCTTTCTCCCCATGGTTATGCAATTCAAAAGAAACAACTGCCTTCCCTTTCTCCTTCTATCCTCATCACTGCAATCCACTGTTATTGTTAAGTAATGTCGAGTTGGTTCCAACTCAGAGCAACGTTGTATAGGGTTTCCTAGGAGCGGCTGGTGAGCTTGAACTGCTGACCTTGTGATTCAGTCTGATCTTGCGGTCCAGCTCTGCACCAGGACTCCACTCTCCATAGAGTAAGCCAAGTGAGCTTTTATTAGTGTAAGCCAAGGCTCATCATGTGCCTGGTTCAAAAACGTCTGAAGTCTTCCTGCTACTATTAGAATAAAATGCCAAGTCTGTCCCAAGATCTATATGGTCCCTTGTCTGCTACCATGGTTTTACCTTGCTAACCAACCCTCTTGATCCCTGGGTGCGATAAATGGTAAACACACTTTCTGCTAGTTGAAAATTGGGTCATTTAAGTCCACCCAGAAAAGCCTCAAAAGAAATGCTTAGCGATTCACTTCAGGAAAATCAGCCAATGAAAACTCTATGGAGAACAGTTCCTCCAGTCTGACACACACGGTCGTCATGAGTCAGAATTCACTCCTTGGCAACAGAATTATTGTTTGTTTGTTCCTCTCCTTCACTCTAGCGTCCCTGATTGTCATTGTACTCAGCTAGCCATCTGGTTCCCGACTCAGGGTCTTTTTCCCTCGGCTGTTTTCTCTGTATTTCCTAGATCTCAGAGCTGGCAGCTTCTGCTCTTTCCTGAATCTGTGCTCAAAGACCACCTTCTCAGAGACCTATTTCAAAACCCCTCTTGTGTCTGAGAGTTGAGAGCAGTGTTTCTGAGAATCCCAGTCTGAAAAACACTTTTTCTGAGGGCCAAGATGTCTCAGAAAGCGGCATTCAATTTTGAGCCAGGTGTTGACTAAAAATTTAGAACCGCATATGTATCATTTCTGTTTCTCTTGGTAAAGTGTTAAAAAATATAGTTAACTTTTGACTGTTTTAAAAGTTTTTTTCTGGATCACTTACATCATCTTAGTGTGATGAATCACTGCACTGGGGAGATCTCAGTTCAAAGTTCTTTGAATTTGAGTAATCTTAATCTCTCCCAAATAGATTCTTTAAAAAAAATGTTCCATTCATTCGTTAATTCATCCAATCAGTAGCTATTACATCCTTTGCACTAGGTCTGAGGGGGATTCAGTGAGTAAAAGTCCCTGCTCTTTGGAGCTTTTTTATTTACTGCTAGATCAGACATTGTTGAAATGACTTCTTCAGTGTAGACAGCCAGGTAAGCTTTTGCAGAGGTCACATCTGAGCAGGTGCTGAACACAGCCACCTTCTCCTATGTTGTTACTGTTAAGTGTCTTCAAGTTATTCCTATTCATAGTGACCCTGTATAGGGTTTCTCAGGAGCGGCTGGTGAGTTTGAACCACTGACCTTGTGGTCCAAACCGACCTTGAGGTCCAATGCTTTATCTCACAGCGCCACACCAAGACTTCACCTTCTCCTTTAGCCTTTCTGTTTCTGAGAAGCAGGGGAGCAAACATCTGCCTTCCCTTTTGACATTTTTCACTTCTCTGGAGATCATTTATTTTAATGATTTTTTAATATTATTTCATAAAAATACTTCAAACAGGTGGCAAATCTGAATACTCAATATTCAGAATATTATCAGGAAAAAAATCTTGGATCCAAATTGTACTTTTACAGTCCTCTTGCGCTGGACTGCAAAGTTGGTTTGAACCACAAGGTTGGCTGTTCAAGCTCACCAGTCGCTCCTTGGAAATCCTATACAGGGTCACTATGGGTTGGAACTGACTCTATGGCACTTAACAACAACAACAACAGTCCTCTTGCAGGAGTGCTGGTGTGGCACTGTAGGATAAGCACTAGACTGCAAGGTCAGTTTAAACCACATGGTTGGCTGTTCAAACTCACCAGCCGCTCCTTGGGGAACCTATGGGTCACTATGAGCTGGAACTGAATCGACTCTTGCAAAGAGTCCTGGCAGTGCAATGGTTAAGCACTACACTGATAATCAAAACATTGGAAGTTTGAAACCACCCAGTGGTTTGAAGGGAGATCAGCTTCCACAAAGATTGTTGCTGTTGTTGTGTGTTGTCGAGTCAGTTCTGAATCACAGCGACCCTGTATAGGGTTTCCAACGAGTGGTTGGTAGGTTTGAACTGCCGACCTTGAGGTGAACAGTCCAGGGCTGATCCTACAGTGCCATGCCAGGGTGACTTTATGAAGATGACAGTCCAGAAAAGGCTACTCCGCCACATGAGTCAGAATCAACTCGATGACACCCAGCAATCAGAACCATCACCACCATACACCTGCTATTGAAAATAAACCTCACAAGTGAATAACAGAATAAACATCAAACTTTAAGAATTTGGTCAAAAAAGCAAACACTATTTCTATCTGACGCCCCCTCTATTAATCATATATTGTTGTACGAAATGTTCTTTCATGACTCATTGATAAAGTTAACAAAATGTACCTTGTTGCTTAATTGATGGACTTGCATTCACACACAACGATAGAACTTGAACAGAAAATGCATAGATATGAACAACCACATGAAGTACTCATAGAAGGTGCTTACCGAGGTAACTGTCGAATGTCTCCAGAATACTGTTCATATTTGTAGTTTACCACATACCACTGGGAACTATAAAATTTACAAGCCTGAAAGAAAACAAATGACAATGATATTTTTAAATTACTACTAAATAAAACAAACAAACAAAATCCTCTATGCTCGTTGAGAACACAGTGAGTGCATTTGTTACCAATCTCTGGGTGTGTTAAGGTGGCTTTATGAATGATTTTAAGGTAAGGGGCTTGCTCTTTAGACTCACCAGTCACTTCCCAACGAACTAAAACGCTAAGCTCTTGCAGACTCATATGTCTGGAGAGGATCCACTGTACATATTTATTCTATTTCATGCCATCAAGGAAAAGCTAAATGAATCACTCACTGAATCACACCGGAACTGTTGCTAACCTCGAGGCTAGTGAGGCTTCAGTGTTCCTTGGCAACCCTTCCCATTAACTAACAGTTCCTAGTAGTGAAAGACGCTTTTCTTATTTATATGCAATCATTTTGACATAATGTTAGCTCAAGTCTTCGTGTTCTTACTTCAGTACCTAATCATATTCTTTTTTATATCATCCACCTTGTCAGTCTGGAATTCATTTTTCACTTTTATTTCATTGCCTTCTGATGGCTGCTTTTTCGACAATTTTTCAGAGAAAACTCTTAAAAGCAAAGTTAAGAGCATAAAAATCATTGTCTTCTATTGATACATGGAGCTGATTTTAAAGTATTCAATGATGACCAATATCTTCCAAACACCTACTACGTACCTAGCACAATAAGTGGCAGGGATTTCATGAAATAGCTTTAAAGAGCCCCTTCAATTCTAAAGTGACATGATTCTGTGGCTTAAACAGCTTGATAATAGGATTACAAGGTAATCTTGTCTACGACTAGTAGAGAAAAAACAAAACAAACCCAAAAAACCCACCGCCAGCTAGTCAATACCCATTCATAGGGACCCTATATAGTGTTTGTGATTGTAAATCTTTATGGGAGCAGACAGCCTCGTCTTTCTCTGATGCAGCGGCTGGTGGGTTCGAGCTGCTGACCTTGTAGTTAACAGTCCAATAGAGAAAAGGCAGCCCAATAGTCTTACTACGTTGTGAGGAATAAATGTCTGCTGATGGTCTCTGTGAAGCTTGGAATGAGAAAGGGGTCCTTTATTTGGAAAAAAACATCACTCAAGGCACAGAACCGCTGCAGCCAAGACAACAGAAATAAGGGGGAGGGAGCAAATGGCCCAGAAGAGGAAGGTGATGGTGAATTCTGAGTAAGAGCTCAGGGCTCAAGGTGAATGTCAGAACAGGCCTGTGTGTCCTGGGCCTCACTGCGTTCCTTGGGTCTTGTATCCATTCTCTGTTTCTCAGACCTTGAATTCTCTCAGCTCCATGGCTTTATTTGTTCAGGGAAGCACACACACAACAATCAAAGACTAAGAGCGAAACAATAAGCAAAGCTGGGACAGGACGGGCTAGCAGGGGCAGCAATGGGTACAAGAGGTTCCAAACAGTAGCACCAGTAAGACAAACAAATGCAGAGCAGAGCACTGAAGGCACGAGAATTCAGGGAACGGGTAGCTGCTAAAGAGCCCCGGTGTCCCAGGAGATTAATGTTGGGCTGTGAACTTTGACATCAGTGGTTTGAACCTACGAGTCACTCCATGGGAGACAGATGAGGCACTATTCCTTAGGGACTTTCAGCCTCGGAAAATACCTGGGGGCAGTTCTACTCTGTCCTATAGTCACTGAGTCTGAGTCAACTAGAGGGCAGTGGGGATGGGAAATTACTAATAGGAATAGAGAAGAAGGGTAGTGTGAACAAAACGGAATATTCAGCTAAAATAAATGTATTAACTAAGCAGTTCCTGGGAGTCATGGTGTGGCGCTGTGGGATAAGCACTGGACCTTAAAGTCAGTTTGAACCACAGAATCAGGGCTTCAAACTCACCAGCTGCTACTCAGAAACCCTATGCAGGGCCTCTATAGGTTGGAACTGACTCGATGGCACTTAACGACGACAACAAAAGTTCTGAAAATTCCTGAGCCAATTCTGCAAACCACGCATCTCTGGAATTAGAAGGAAATCTAAGCCTTAACCTGATCCTTAGCTAAAATGTTCCATCTTCATCTTATTTAAAGAATTTAAGAAGCTAGGCAAGGGCTGTTTGTTGTTGCTAAGTGCCAATGAGTCATTTCCGACTCACAGTGACCCTGTGTAGGGCTTATGAGGAGCGACTGGTGAATTTGAACCACCGACCTTGCTGTCCAAACCACCCTGGCAGTTGAGTGCTCATCCTACAGCACCACGCCAGGGCTCTTCATCTTAGATCAAGATTCTAAGAAGCTAGGCCTAAGACATGTTATCGTTGTTGTGAAGTGCCGTCGAGTTGGTTCTGATCCATAGCAACCCTGTATAAGGTTTTCAAGGAGCAGCTGCAGAGCTTGAACCACTGACCTAGCAGTTCAAACGGCTTTACAGTCTGGTGCATTAACCCACAGCGCCACACCAGGTCTCTGAGGCAGACGCCCTCTCAAACCTTGTTAACCAAGTTGCACATTATCACTCTTTCTCACACTTGTTCTCTCAATCCTAGCTTGTCTGAAAGGGAATAAAATTTATATTTTAAATAGAAAACAAAATTCCTTAAATTGATGTTTTATATTTGGCTGCATTCCTCTTCAATTATTATTATTTTGTGATTCATAGTTTTACCGGTCTCCTTGCTAAATACGTATTTGAATTTGAGAATGTTTTAAATTCATTTTATGATATATTCCAGAGATTTTCACTCATTGTTTCTAAATCTTATGGCTGCATTAAATAAGTAAACATTCACTTCTTAATTTACTGACCAAGTTTCCCAGTTTCAGAGTTCATTCAGTCATTAATTCGTCCCACAAACATTCCTGAACCCCTATATTCTGCTCTTCAAAAAAATTCAAATAAGTTGTTCAGTCTTGACCTCTTGAAACTTACAGTATTCTGAAAACAGATCAGAAAGCCCTAAATTCATTAAATCAGAATATGATAAGTGGCATGAGAGATATAGAGGAAGGAGAATGGAAGAGGTTGGAGCCAGGAGACTCCTTTAAATACGATGATTTGTGAAGTTCTTGCAGAGAAAGTGAATTCTGAGCCTACACTCAGAGGGGAGAAGGGAGGGACCAATGGCCAGTGTGGCTGTTTCAAGTTAGTGTGGTTGTTTCAAGTTAGTGTGGCTGATTCACAGTTTGTATCATTGTTTAAAAAAAAAAAATTGCTTCATTGTGTATCTTTCATACACGTGGTCCTTTCACTCTTTCCAGCCTCCATCTAGATCACCAAATGCTCCTTAGCATAGGATATACACTCAATAAATATTTGCTTTAAAAAGAAAATTCTCTTTTCCCAGCAAGTTTGATCTAATCTATAATTCACATTCATAATAGCTAAAAATAATAACTTGATTTTAATGATTTATAAAAGTAGAATTTTGGAAAGATGTATTAACTGATTACTAGAGTTCTGGATTAATCAGATTGCTTCTGAATTTGTCTGTTGGTTTCCAAGTTGGGTGGTGGGTGGGTGAAGACCAATGTTGGGCTATCTGACTCTGAAGAGTCCTTCTAAATTTGAGATTTCTCTGATTTTATGAAGGCCATTGAATTTAACAAACACACAAACATTTCTCCTACAATGCTATGGCATTTTGGAAATTCTACATGCAGAAATTTATTCTCTATTCTTTGTTCCAGCCCACACAGTCACTCTAAGGAGATCTTTAAGAAGTATTATAATTATAAAAACAGCTCCTCTTTGTCTAGAAAGAAGCTGAAAGGGTCAGTTGCAAATTCAATCACAGGCTACAACTCTGCTTGTTAAAATGAAGCAACCACCCAACCATTGAGTAGATTCAGTTTCGAGTTGAGTCAGGCTCACAGTGAGACTATAGGACGGAGTTTTCAAGGCTGTCATTTTTATGGGTGGGAAAAAGATGAAGCTTTCAGCTCCTGCAAAAATTTTACAACCTCAGAAACTCTATACAGATTTGTTATGAGTCAGAACCAACTCAGTGGCACTTAATGACAGCAACAACCATCTTTATGGAAACAGACTGTCACATCTTTCTCCCATGGTGGGTTTAAAGAAAGGACCTTTAGGTTGGCAGCTAAAAGCTTAATGGATTTATCATCAGGACTCCTTAACCATAAGGCAACGGCTCCAGGTTGCTCTTCTGACTTCCTAGATCACAACACCTGTTACAAAATACAAATTCCTTGTATCCTTTACATCAAAGGTGGCAACTTGGAATACTGAGCAAGAACTTTTCAAGTTGATGAATTTTTCCAGACAAGATGCCCCGATATGCATTTTACTCATTTATTAGATTTAAGTCTATGTTTTTACTTCTGTGTGTATGTGTTTCAACCCAAAAAAGCTGGTAATGACAATAGGTCTAAGGTGCTCATGCCATTCATTAGAATATCTGTTACTGTATTGTGACCATGAATCATTTGGGATTACTAATCAAATGGAAATGGTTAATGTTCAACCATTTCAAGAGATACCATATGAACAAGAGCCAATGATACTCAGAGAGGAAGTCCAAAGTGCATTGAAAGAAGTGGCAA